CGCTGATCAAGTGGACATTTTCCAACAAGGCAGTTGTACTGTTGATCAGTAGATTGACTTCTGTACAGGCACCTTGCCTATACATGGATATAAATTCAGCCAGTCCCTGCTGATGCGGGACAATTTTGATCCAGCTCAAGAGAGAATTTCCTCACTTTATAGTGATTTTTTCTCACTTCACGATTGGTCTATAGGACAGGAACACAGAATACACCACATCACAACATGTTGATGTGACTAAAATGAATAGATTGCAATTTTGAGACATTTCAATAAAGGCAAAAAAAGAAAGAGAAACGGTGTGATGTAATATTCAGCACAATGGAAGTAACAGTAAGCTTTAAATAACAATATACGCTGCTCAAAAAAAAATTAAAGGAACACTTTTTAACCAGATTATAGTATCAAGTCAATTAAACTCCTGGGATATTGATCTGGTCAGTTAAGTAGCAGAGGGGGTTGTTAATCAGTTTCAGCTGCTTTGGTGTTAATGAAATTAACAACAGGTGCACTAGATGGGCAACAATGAGATGACCCCCAAAACAGGAATGGTTTTACAGGTGGAGGCCACTGACATTTTTTTCCCTACACACCTTTTCTGTTTTTCACTAGTTTTACATTTGGCTAGGGTCACTGTCACTACTGGTAGCATGAGGCGATACCTGGACTCTACAGGGGTTGCACAGGCAGTCCACCTCCTCCAGGATGGCACATTAATATGTGCTATTGCCAGAAGGTTTGCTGTGTCTCCCAGCACAGTCTCAAGAGCATGGAGAAGATTCCAGGAGACAGGCAGTGACTCTAATAGAGCTCAACAGGGCCGTAGAAGGTCCTTAACCCATCAGTAGGACCGGTATCTGCTCCTTTGTGCAAGGAGGAACAGGATGACCACTGCCAGAGCCCTACAAAATGACCTCTTGCAGGCCAAGGGTGTGAATTTCTCTGACCAAACAGTCAGAAACAGACTTCATGAGAGTGGCCTGAGGGCCCGATGTCCTCTAGTGGGCCGTGTGCTCACTGCCCAGCAACATAGAGCTTGGTTGACATTTCCCATTGAACACCAGAATTGGCAGGTCCGCCACTGGCGCCCTGTGCTTTTCACAGATGAGAGCAGGTCCACCATGAGCACATGTGACAGATGTGAAAGGGTCTGGAGAAGCCGTGGACAATGCTATGCTGCATGTAACATCGTTCAGCATGACCGTTTTGGTGGTGGGTCAGTGATGGTCTGGGGAGGCATATTCATGGAGGGACACACCTCTACAGGCTAGACAATGGCACACTGACAGCTATTAGGTATGGGGATGAAATCCTTGGACCCTTTGTCAGGCCCTGTGCCAGTGCAGTGGGTCCTGGGTTCCTCCTAGTGCATGACAATGCCCGGCCTCATGTGGCAAGAGTATGCAGGCAGCTCCTGGAGGATAAAGAAATTGATACCATTGAATGGCCCCCATGCTCGCCTGGCCTAAATCCAATTGAACACCTCTGGAATATCATGTTTCAGTCCATTCGACGCTGCCAGGTTGCACCTCAGACTGCCCAGGAGCTCAGTGATGCCCTGATCCAGATTTGTGAGGAAATACCCCAAGACAATAACCATTGTCTCATTAGGAGCAGGCCCCTACATTGTCAGGCATGCATACAAGCACGTGGGGGCCATACAAACTACTGGGTACCAATTTGAGTTGCTGCAAGCAAATTTCAGCAAAATGGACTATCCTGCTGCATCATTTTTGCACTTTGATTTTTGGGGTGTCTTTGAATTCAGTCCTCTGTAGGTTGATAATTTTCATTTCCATCAAATGATGAGACATCCTTACGTTCCTAACACATTACCCAGTCCATATCAGTATAGATATCCAGCATGATATTTTTCCCCATTGAGATCTGATGTGTTTTTTCAAAGTGTGCTTTTAATTTTTTTGAGCAGTGTAGTCAGGGGCAAACTGACAACTCATTGGGCCCCCGGGCAATAGGGGATCATGGGGCCCCTCTGTCCTTGCCCAAACTCAAAAAAGCTTATGAAAAAGGGACGAGGGTCATCTCATGGGGCCCCCTACTGACCCCGGGCCCTCGAGCAGTGCCCGAGTTTCCAAATGGCCAGTCCGCCCCTGAGTATAGTATGAACTGATTTAAACTACATCAGCTCTCATACCTGTATACCTCTTCTGTAATTTTTCCACCTTATAATGACATCAAAATTACAATTTTGATAGAAAGCATTCCAAAGGTTTTTGCAAAGGAAATAAGATATTTTTTTTTTAATTTTTCAATATTTTGTTTATTGCAACACAAAAAAAATTAAAGAATATAATGAAGGAAAAATCCTCAAAGAAGTACACAGGGACTTTGTAGTATGCCCTGTCCCTCTCCCCCTGCTGCAGCTCCTCTACCACTCTTGCAGGCAATTCCTAACTGACAAATTTAGAAGTAACAATATTATTATGGTGTATTTACTCTGTTAGATTTATCCACAGTAAAGTTATCCCTACTTAAACTCTAATCTGCCATAAGAAAGATATTATTTTTCTGCTGATTTTTTTTTTTTTTTTAATTTTTTATTAAAAATCTTATTTGGGGGAAGGGGAATATGTAGCATGCTCAAGATCCATGACCTAGCCATAGACTGTTCATGATGGTCATGAAAACCTTTGGGAAAAATGATATTTATTAGATTGGGCTATACAGACCTGCAAGGGCGGACTGACAACTCATGGAGCCCCCGGGCAATAGGGGATCATGGGGCCCCTGTGTCCTTGTCCACACTTAAAGCACACCCAATGAAGCCTAAAAAGGTACCAGGGGCATTTCATGGGGCCCCCTACTGACCCCGGGCCCTCGGGCAGTGCCCAAGTGCTCAAATGGTCAGTTCGCCCCTGCACACCTGTGAACAAACCGACAATGAAAATGGTTACATGATAACTCTATACATCAATAGATGTTGCTGTCTTACATGGGATATTCAGTTCTAACCATATATGATTAGACTGATCATTTAACCAATTGTTGGCAGTCAGGTATCCACAAAACCCAGGGCTTTTGTCTTCTACAGTCTGCAGAGTCTGTGTCTTTATTGTTTTGCTTCCTTTTAAATTCCGTTTTTTATTGCGTTATACTTTTACATGTATTGATTTTTATTTCTAATTTTTTTTAGGAAATAAATGATCTGAACAAACTTTATTTGCTTTTCATGTACCATATGATTAGAATATGTGTATGATATGCATTTGTTTGTGCCTATATACATATTTTGCTGTCATGATTGTTCCAAATCTAATATATTTATTAATATTTTTAATATTACTATATTTGTTACATATATGCATTGTTGGCATTTGATACATGTAAATAACATTCATTGTTAATCAATTGTTAAATAATTGTTAACTATTAGATATGGGAGTTTTCATTGGGCAATAACTTTGTCATTGCGTATGATAACAAAGTAATACATACAGTATATCCTTTTTTTCACAACAAACAAGGATTGGTGATATTGTTTAGTAAAAACATTTGAGGGATATTTTATGTAAACTTATAATGAACCTGGGTGAGCATATAATGACAAAATGCATAAACAGAAACTATCTTGTATGTAGGGGCGGACATACAACTCATGGGGCCCCCGGGCAATAGGGGATCATGGGGCCCCTGTGTTCCTTGCCCAAACTCAAAAAAGCATCTGAAAAAGGTACCAGGGGGATCTCATGGGGACCCTGGGCCCTCGGGCAGTGCCCGAGTTTCCAAATGGTCAGTCCGCCCCTGCTATGTCAATAACACTAGATACAGAGATATCGGCAGCAAAATCCAAATGCAAATCCTGAATCCAAACTTGGATTCACCCTCTTCAACAAGCTACCTTTTAGTATGATGAGCTGAATTAGGGAAGGGACCAATAGGGAAGCTTGAAGGGGCATGAACAAGCCCAACCTTTACTAGAAAAAAAAATGAAATTTGCATAAAACTTCAGCTTTCTCTTACTACTGATTATTTTTACTAATGTTATGACTGGAGGTATACTCTGCTTTTGAATAGAGTTACCTCAGCAAACTCAGTTTGAACTGCTCAATGTTGTGGCAGGAGAAATTTAATTTTATTCAAATTACTATAGGAAGCCAGACTACCTAGCCAAGTTTTCCAAAATCTGGGGGCCATGGCAGAAGCATAGGGGAGAAGGTAATTGCTAATAGGTTAACCATGATACTCTATTGCAGTGATGGCGAACCCGTGGCACGCGTGCCACAGCCGGCACGCCGAGCCTTATCTGTGGGCACGCCAGGAGAATACCGTATTTTTCGCTCCATAAGACGCACTTTTTTTCCCCCAAAAAAGGGGGGAAAATGTCAGTGCGTCTTATGGAGCGAATATAGAGCGGCCGGTCCGGTATTTCCACCGCCGCCATATCAGAATACCGGGCCGGCCGCTCAGCTCTGCAGTGGGACCGTACCTGTCCCTCTATCCAGCGGCGCGCTGTCTTCCCGGCTTCTGTAGTGTGCGTGAAAGCCGGGTCCCAAGTGCGCATGTGCAAGAAGCAGTGCTCTTTGTGAATGGTAAGGCGGTACCTGGGACACATGACAGATCCCAGAAGCCGCCGGACCAATCACAAAGCGCAGCGCTTCTCGCGCATGCGCACTGGGCATCCGGCTGTCTGACGAGCATCCACACTACAGAAGCCGGGAAGACAGCGCGCGGCTGGATAAAGGAACAGGTAAGATTAAAAAAAAACTCTGCGAAAGTAAGAGCGGGTACCTGTCAAATTCAGGTACCCGCTCCCCCTCCCTCCCCAAAGGTCAGCAGTCATCTGTACTGTCCGCAGTCTCTGGTCATCCCTGTGCTTTCGCAGTCTCTGGTCATCCCTGTACTGTCCGCAGTCTCTGGTCATCCCTGTACTGTCCGCAGTCTCTGGTCATCCCTGTACTGTCCGCAGTCTCTGGTCATCCCCTGTACTGTCCACAGTCTCTGGTCATCCCCTGTACTGTGTCTGCAGTCTCTGGTCATCTCCTGTACTGTGTCTGCAGTCTCTGGTCATCTCCTGTACTGTGTCCGCAGTCTCTGGTCATCCCTGTACTGTGTCTGCAGTCTCTGGTCATCCCTGTACTGTGTCCGCAGTCTCTGGTCATCCCTGTACTGTGTCCGCAGTCTCTGGTCATCCCTGTACTGTCCGCAGTCTCTGGTCATCCCCTGTACTGTGTCGCAGTCTCTGGTCATCTCCTGTACTGTGTCTGCAGTCTCTGGTCATCTCCTGTACTGTGTCCGCAGTCTCTGGTCATCTCCTGTACTGTGTCTGCAGTCTCTGGTCATCCCTGTACTGTGTCCGCAGTCTCTGGTCATCCCTGTACTGTGTCCACAGTCTCTGGTCATCCCTGTACTGTGTCTGCAGTCTCTGGTCATCCCTGTACTGTGTCTGCAGTCTCTGGTCATCCCTGTACTGTGTCTGCAGTCTCTGGTCATCCCCTGTACTATGTCTGCAGTCTCTGGTCATCCCTGTACTGTGTCTGCAGTCTCTGGTCATCTCCTGTACCGTGTCCGCAGTCTCTGGTCATCTCCTGTACCATGTCCGCAGTCTCTGGTCATCTCCTGTACTGTGTCCGCAGTCTCTGGTCATCCCTGTACTGTGTCCGCAGTCTCTGGTCATCCCTGTACTGTGTCCGCAGTCTCTGGTCATCCCTGTACTGTGTCTGCAGTCTCTGGTCATCCCTGTACCGTGTCCGCAGTCTCTGGTCATCCCTGTACTGTCCGCAGTCTCTGGTCATCCCTGTACTGTCCGCAGTCTCTGGTCATCCGCAGTCTCTGTACTGTGTCCGCAGTCTCTGGTCATCTCCTGTACTGTGTCCGCAGTCTCTGGTCATCCCTGTACTGTGTCCGCAGTCTCTGGTCATCCCTGTACTGTGTCTGCAGTCTCTGGTCATCCCTGTACTGTGTCTGCAGTCTCTGGTCATCCCTGTACTGTGTCCGCAGTCTCTGGTCATCCCTGTACTGTCCGCAGTCTCTGGTCATCCCTGTACTGTTAATTAGTTTGCACTACTGTACGAGTTGTTTTTTCTAAACCAAAAGCTTGATATTCAGGTTTCATTGCAGTGTTGGCACTTTGAAAGAAATAAGTTGGTTTTGAGTTGCAGTTTGGGCACTCGGGCTCAAAAAGGTTCGCCATCACTGCTCTATTGAATAAAGAAATGAGTAAAGGCACAGCAACTCATCTACAGAAGTATTTTGGGGAGGTGGGGGAGAGGTAACATGTATGCATGCAAAATGTGGATGTGTGTACTTACTAGGCTGTTGTGCTTACAATCTTGTTGGTTGGCAATTGTTTTTGCAATTACTTTAAATTTTGAAAGATGAATGATAAATGCCTTTAAAAAAGAAGGCATTTGAACCCATCTACTACTGCCATCATAGTGAGCAGTATTAGAATGTAAATGAACTCACAGCCATGATAGCAGCCAATAGGGATGAGCTTCAGGATTGCTGCTACCATGGGTTTACAGTAGATCCAGCAGGTTCAAAGTCTGCAGTACCAGCAAAATAATGTGGAAACTCACCAAAGTGAATTCTCTGTAACCATCATGTGCTGCCTGGCCTTTAAACGTAGGTCAGCGGGCTTAGAAGGACCAATAATGGGGGTTATGCTAAATGCCAGCCACCTTTCTATAAAAGAGTGAGTTCCAAGCAGCCATTTGAAGTGTGTGTTGGAGTAGTTTAGGGAGAACTGACAGTCTCTACAGGGAGAGTCCAGGGAGTGTTAGGTGCTATATGGTGCTATATTGTGTTAAATGTGTATCTCAATGTGGTGGGCTACACATTCTTACGTGTTCACAGTTCTGAGGCCTGACAGAATATTTTAGGATGACCTTTTTTTATGAGTGTACAACTGTAGTTGCTGTTTGTCTGCTGCCCTTGCATTCTTTTTTGTTTTGTTTTTCTTTTACTTCATGTTTATCAAAATATGTTTATATTCTGATAAGTTTTAATAATTTTGTTAAAGGTTCATGTTTGAATGTATACTTTTTTTTGGGGGGAGGGGCTATATTTTAGTTTTTCAAGGCCTTTTTTTATTTAGGGGTCTGCAGTAAGCACTTATTGCTAACATGGGCAAAGCTGCCCTTTTCAGCCTGACACCAAATCCTTGTGCAGTAAAGTAGTGTACACCAAAACACCCTATATTTATTTATTGTTATTTATTTAAAAATGCTATATTTACATTTAGGCAATACCCTTTGTTAATAATGTTGGGCAGGCCAAAGGTAAGAGGCAGACGTTTTGTACTCATAGGTAGTAGATGGCTAGCAAGTTTTGCAGGACAAGGTAGTGGTTAGGCCACACCATTTTGAGGCAGGGCACATCTGCCTTTTGTAACTCATGCCACCACCTTCTAATCTATGCCACCATAGCATGTGAAAAAGGTAGTTGTGTAGCTGAGAACATCTTTCTCTTCTTCCTCCTCCCAGGCCAGTTGTCTCTAACTGCTGTTAATGCGCCTTCTTCTTCCTTTTCTTCTGATAATTCTGCATAGACCTGCACACTGGCAACACGGAGAATATTTTGATCTCACGATCACTGACTTGCTGCAGGAATATAATCTTGGCTATGCACAAGCATTCTTTCTTTCGTTCAGATTTTGAGGATACATAAAATAGAACAAGAACCATAGAGGGAGAGGACATCAAACAGAGGACAACAAGAGGAAGTGATGTTCTAGCAGCTGGAGCTTACTGAAAAATTGGTTCAATTAATAATGAGTGAGTGGCTGATGAGGTGGAAGACAGGCTCTGGTTGTCATTGATTGGATAAGAAGAAACGTTTTGAAGAAGAGGCAGAACAGCAGTAAGGTAGGATTTTGTAGGGACAGGAAAGCTTTCAGAGGACAGGAGTGTGCAACCATTACAATCCATCTGGCTGCACCGTTCCATAAGTACAGGCCACTTCTATTTCAAGAGTTTGTCCACATGGCTCTGCACTATGTGTTTTTTTGAACATATCTGCTGCAGACAGAAATGTTTTGGTCTACAGCATCTGTCTGCAGCCTATCAGCTGTGATACCAGCCATTTGTGTATTACATGCATGAGGTACCATAGTCACCACAGAATGCAGTGGGTACAGCACCTCAATAAAACAAGTGGGAAGCAAAGGGCCATCACCCCTTCTATGTGTTTTTCATGTTCCAGATCTTCCCCAACAACATTCTTCTGCTGCATCAGTGGCCTCTAGTGACAGAGGAGAAAATCTCAAAAAGGAATTAGGAGGCCTAGGATATGCCATATCAAGGGGGGGGGGGGTCATGGGGCTTCAACCTCTACAGAATTCTCCTGCACCCATCCTGCCATCTACAGCAGCATAATTTTCAAGGCAGGTGTGTCTTTCACATCTTCTAGAGCATAAAAAAATTTTCCCAAATCTTCTCTGCACCCAGATTTTAATGCCAGCTTGACAAACTTGCTGGCTTTGAAGGTGCTCCATTTTGTTGCATCATCTCCCTTCTGTGAGTTTTTCAACTGTGCTACAACACAGTGACAGGTACCCAGATGCCATTCTTTTGCCTATAATGCCATCCCTGCCCTCCAACAGCATGTAGAATATAATGTATCTGTGACACTGGACCACGCTGCTTCTCATCTGCAGGATAAACATGACCACATATACAGTACATGGTCTAGTAAGCATGAGGTGTAGAAGTCTTGGGGACTGAAGTTACACTGGGCCAGAACTTCTAGAAACCATCTATGCCCAGGGTGAGAGGAGGCTGACCCGATGCCATCTTTAGCCAAATTCCTAATGTTTGCTGCTGGGAAAATTCTGTACTGCAACTCAGTTTGCATCCTATTCCAGTCTGTCCTGCACTGTAAAAGTGCCAAACAACATTTTCACAGCTGGAACTAAGCTACCAAATTTGTAATGTCTACTGCAGGTTAAATTATGCTGGACCTCAGTTGCCAAATTTCTAGTGTTTGCTGCAAGGAAATTCCTGTATTGCGCCTCAAAGTTTGCAGCCTATTCTGGTGCCCTGATGCCCAAAAGAATTGTGGCCTAACCAAACTGCTTACTGAACAATATTTTGGGGCTATAGTCTCTCAAATTATACACTGTAATTTTTATTTAAAAACAAAACCTGCCTTGTCACTTCCTCTTACATTGTACAGCTGCTTACATATTGTGCAGCCACTGAACAATGTTTGTGGCTATTGTTTCTCAAATAATACACTGCAATATTTATTTGAAGATAAACCTTGTCTTTTCTTTCTTAATACATTGTGACCTTATGAAGTTGCTTACCTACTATCCAGCCACTGAACAATGTTTGTGACTCTCTAAAATGAATACATAAACAATCCTATAGGTGAAATCTAAAAATATAAATTCACTTAAATACTTAATCATGAAGTAGAAACATTACAATCTATGCAAACAGTCTGATTCTTTCAAATAAAACTCAGTGTAAAAAGTCCACCAAAATTTTCTATTAGTGATAAATGCTCCAATTGTAACAATAAGTGATATACCATCTTCCTATTCACCACTGTGCTCACAAAGCCCTCACCTTAGTGATTTGACCTACAATACATGTAAGGTCAAATATCACATGGGTTTCCAGTAGGTGTCCCTCTGGTACACACAAAGCCTCCTGTGGGCTTGTAATGGGATATCCCTCACTCCTCCTGTCCACTAGGGTGTCTGTGTCTTCCAAGATACTCTCCTTATGTACTCGGGTGAAGGTCCCTTTAACGCTGTCTTATGCCTAAGCTGCCATGCAGAGTTACTCCAAAAAAAAAAAAAAGAAAAACAGATTCCAATGGTGTGTAAACTAAAAGGTGCACTTTATTAGCTAGAAAACGCACTCACATATTGTTAGAAACAACCAGCTATTCACAAATAGTACATTTATACCACTTTAGTGTAGAAAAAACGTCACTTCCTGTCCGTGACGCCACAGGCTCCACCCTATGTGTTGCATCACAGGTCACGTGGCTTCATTAGGGGAAAGAGCCTAGCAGTAATATGTGTCATTATATAACAGTATATTAATGGCATTGCGCAGTGGCCATTCTGTTGAAGTCTACATATGTTTATTATAGCAACGGCCATATTCCCTGAGATCTTTAAATAGACCACACTGGCAGATATTTTCAATTGGATTTCTGACACCCAGCAGCCGTACTGTTGAGGTCTAAAGGTATACTATTTATACGCAGACCAAAAGAGTAGCCTTACTATTACGGTATGGTGATGTGGACATCACAGCGGCCATTTCCTCATAGTTAGTTGTAACAATACATAAATAATGTAAACAGAAATAAACGGTATGCTCAATGAACAACCATGTATAACATCTCCTACTTTGGTGCTAAAATAACCCTATCAGCGACAGAATAAAATAATTGAAACAAATTTGTATAGTAGAGTTTTGATATTAAACCTTTTAAATGAAACTAAAATAATGGTGAGGAAAAAAAAGGGGTAAGTAGAATAAATAGCACAATAAAGTTAAATTATGCAGGATAAATTGCTACAATATTGGGGATATTTCAAAGGGTATTGACATCAGTATAAAAAAGCTAAAACTTACTCCCAAAAATAAAATACGTAAACATAGAAAACCCTAAATTACAATATGTATAGAGCTCCCACTGTGGTGAAAATCTTATACAGCACTGAACCTAAACTAGCCTGATAAAATCTAAGCAGAGTTTCCAGATTAGTTGGAATGACCATGCATTGGCTCTTATATGGCATATCTGGTGATAAATCAGTTAGAAAACAGTTGAAGTCAAACTCAAAAGATCGGGACTAATCAATTTTCACATATATATATCATATAGCTTGTAGACTATAACATTCACAAAGACTAAATAACATACACTGCTTTGGGTTATTTTTACCTAACAACAGTAGCCGAATACATTTTGGCCTAAATTTATGAAGAAAGATTACCTATTTTCAAAATGTTATAACAAAAACTAATAATATAAAGATGTTTCTAAAT